AGAGAGAGAGAGAGAGAGAGAGAGAGAGAGAGAGAAAGACAGAGACAGAACAGAGCTAGAGAGAGAGCATGATGTACCGATATCTGATCTCTTCACATACCTGCAAAGCCTGAAGATATTGGAGGTAGTCTCTCCTGTCGTTCCGATCGAGGTCGTCGATCTGAGGGAAGTAGGCGGGTACAGCCGTGCAGGCAGCCAGCAGACCCAAGAGAGCGATCAAGATGGCTTTTGTCATAATGAATGCCGCTGTGGGGGGAACGAATAATATGGAAAGGTGGTTTAATTTAAAGCTGTTCAATTATTCTATGAAGTTTTTCGAGTGGTCCAGACCTTTATATGTAGGCTTTATTTTTAAATTATGACATCTTTAAGTTTAAGGAACTGTGGTCCCGTTTCTTCCTGTCCCCATTTTAACGAAGTGACAATGGTATGATGGGGATAGGTAAATCAACAATGGGTTTTCCAGCCATGAAGACGGCAGTGGGGTTATTCTTCTTTTTAAAAAATATATCATTATAAATAGTGTTTAAACGAGGTTGTGTATGGATTTTGTTTTTGTTTTAAAACAAAAAGGAAATGAATGGGCCATGGACATCACAACCAGCAGTGGCGTGTGGGGAAAAAAGGGGAAAAAATGGTTAGATGTTATACTTACTGTTCTCAATCTTCTGTGAATACACACACACACAGCTCTGTATCTACTGCCGATGAGTTTAAGCCACAGAAAATGTGACAGAAACAAAAGATGAAATTCTTTACACAGTTACCGTAAGCATTTGTTCCTAATTCTTCCTCTAAAATAATACTTCCGTCCTGTGTGATCCCTCAAACCAAACGATGGCTTCAGGATTTTCATAAAATATCTAGAACACAAGCGTTGGCAGCCTCGCACACACTGCGTCGTTACCAGGAATAGAAGGCCGTGGGCGGGGATCGATCGCGGTTGTCCTTGGCAACGAGAGAAAAAAAAATCAATTCCTCTCTCCGTCATGACGTGCGTGTGTTTGAAGTGTGACGCGATACGCTGGTCAAGGGGAATAACTGAACATATTGCGTGATGAAAAACCGACCCCCTCCCCCCCCACACACACACACAAAAAGAAAAAAAAAAG